TCTAATATATTAGTGTTCCTACCCGATTTTATTTTTTATGAACATCCAATAATCTTGCCTTGTTCCTTATTCTCTTTCTTTTTGTGGGGTATGAATCCTTTCGGATGTGTTTATTGGTTATCTTTTGATCTTTCCCTTAAAATAACTCAAAACTTTTGCTGCATAATTATAAAATGAAAACTGTGAAGCTACTGTGCAAGGTGAATATGGAAAACAGTGCTGGAGAAGGAAATTCCGCAAATGCAGGAGTCCCTAGGATTACGCTCAATGAAAGAATTCTTTCTTCCATGTCTAGAAGATCTGTGGCTGCTCACCCTTGGCATGATTTGGAGATCGGTATGTGTACTTTTTGTTCTTTTTCAGAAGATTCTTCTACTGAATGTGCAAGGACTTCAGCTGAGCTTGTTTACTTCTTGAGTAGTAATGCTTGAATTTGTGATTTCAGGACCTGGTGCGCCGTCGGTTTTCAATTGTGTAAGGTTTTCGTGTTTATTTAAGGCTTAAAGTGCTAGATTGTTGAAAAGATTTGGAAAGAAAAATAAGAACTGGTTGGAAAGTGTCAAGGAGATTGGTTGTTTGAGCTCGTTGTTCTGAGATTTCTTATGATGAGTTGCCAATTATATGAAACTACAAACTGAGTATTACTGTGTATGGGCAGGTTATAGAAATTAGCAAAGGCAGCAAGGTCAAATATGAGCTTGACAAGGCCAGTGGCCTTATAAAAGTGTGTTCATCTCCTCTCTATCTGTTCTTTGCCTTTATGCTTATTTTGATGCAGTAATGGCTACTTTTTAAGCAGTATTATAATAAAGCTTGCTTTGCTGCATTGTTTCATGTTCCTGAGTTTGATGGCCTCTCATTTAGAAACTCTTAGAGAAGTATTTCAAAATCTTTTGACCTTTTGCTCGTAAACAATGACGATCTGGTTTAGAACACCATAGATCATTGAGGATGCTTTCTTGTACAATAAATCTTCTCTGCTATCATGCATTGTTATCGGTAATCATGCACGTCCTCTTTTGCTTTCTCTTGTGGATTTTTTTTAAAGTTTTAAAACGCGTCAGCTAGAAAGAGTTGGACTCTCCCTTCTAATTTCCCCTCAAGGTTTTAAAACGCGTCTGCTAGGAAGAGTTTTCCACACCCTTATAAGAAATGTTTTGTTTCCCTCTCTAACCGATGTGGGATCTCACGATCCACCCCCTTAGGTCCTAGTGTCCTCGCTGGCACACCGGTTCTGATATCATTTGTAACAGCCCAAGCTCACAACTAGCAGATATTGTCCTCTTTGGACTTTCCCTCAAAGTTTTAAAACAAGTCTGTTAGGAAGAGGTTTCCAAGTTTTTATAAGAAATGTTTCGTTCCGCCTTCAACTGACGTGAGATCTCACAAATATATTGGGTTTATGCTATCTTGAATGTATGCCTTTTCAATTTGTTCATGGAGAAGATGACCCGTGTTTCAAATTTGTGGAAACAGGTCGACCGTGTACTTTACTCATCAGTTGTTTACCCACACAACTATGGTTTCATCCCGCGTACAATCTGTGAAGACAGTGATCCTATGGATGTTCTTGTACTGATGCAGGTAAAATCCAACGAAGTTTAAGAGAATTAATTATCTCTTCTTATGAGTTGATATCTTTACTGTTCTTCTGCTTCTCTGTGGCACAGGAGCCTGTGCTCCCTGGATCTTTCCTCCGAGCTCGTGCTATTGGATTGATGCCCATGATTGATCAAGTATACGGCCCCCAACTTTCTTCTGAACAGTTTCCAAAGTCCTGTAAACAACCCAAGATTTCTTTTCCCTCTTTAAGCTAACCATTGCAGTTACCATGGTGCAGGGAGAAAGGGATGACAAAATCATAGCAGTATGTGCTGACGACCCAGAATTTCGCCATTACAAGGACATCAAGGAGATTCCCCCGCACCGGTTGGCTGAAATTCGCCGATTCTTCGAAGACTGTATCCTCTTAAAACACTTTCACATTTGAATCCATGTATTATGGTTTATGAAAGCATTTTGTTGGTTTTTCCTTGACATCTCTTGAACCAAAAAGACAAGAAGAACGAGAACAAGAAAGTGGACGTTGAAGACTTCCTGCCAGCTGAAGCTGCCAGTGATGCCGTCAAGTACTCCATGTAAGCTCCCATCTGACCCTACTGCAACTTTCTCGCTTTCTATCTCCCTTCTCGGTTGAACACAGAAACACTAACACTCTTTATTAACGTCAATCGAAAAGATACTACAAGATACTCTTTCTTTATTAACACCAATCAAAAAGAGATTACAAGACACTTCGTAGAAACTACTCCATTATGCTCGTGAAACTTAAAGAAGGTAAAGGAATATTTAGAGTGCTATTTGAGACTACTCGTGATTTCTTGAGATGAAAAACTAGATAGGGTAGACGTATATTGAGTCAATTTCTAAATCTTTTTTAATTATCTAAATTATTTTAACATAACTCACTCGTGATGTTCCTTTTGTAGGGATCTGTATGCTGCTTACATAGTTGAAAGCTTGAGGCAGTAAGTTTTTTTCTTCTTCCCCTGTTCTTATCCAATAACAAACTGGCTATTAGACCAGTTAGCAGCATATGTAATGAGGCTGCTGTTAAACGTTGTATTAATGGGCCTTAATGTCGGCCCAATAGTGAAATTTGGACAATTTGACGGCGTGGCCCAAAAAGACCAAGTCTATTTCAAGCTTGTTCTAATCATTATTGCACCTTTAATCCCAACATGGCCTGCAATTTTTTTAGGCTGCTATTATTTGAATTAATCATTCCTCTTTATCTTTAAGCAACCATTTTCTTCCCCAGTCTTATATATATTTTTTATATTATATAGTTATATAAAATTATTATTTTAAATAACCTGCCATCCACTAATCTTTTCAAAAAAAAAAAAAAAAAAACAATTTTTCATTAATAAATTTTTGTTTTTGGTTTTTTTTAATAATTTAGGGGATTGTAATTGGACAGCTAAAAAACAACCAAATCCCGTTTCATTTCATGATTGGATAACTGACAGGATTGGATTACGATTGAAAATGACGATAATTTGCATTAATTAAACGATAAATATTAAATAAATAAAATAAAATAAAATAAAGAATTACAATATGAGCTGAGCTGGAAAATTGAAGTCAATGCCACAGGCAAAAGCTGCAGCTTTGACCTTTGTCTTTTAAATTTCAAAATTCCCATCACTGTTATTCCAAATTTTCCATTTGTGGTCCAAAATCAGAATGGTAAAATACTATTTTTTAATTAAAAAAATACATTTAATTTTTATTTTGTCCTAAACTTTTAAAATTTTAACGAGATTTAAATTTAAAAAATATATATATATCAACGTCCAGTGGACATCATTCTACTAAACGAACTAATTGTCAACTCTAACTTCTACTTTTAGATCGTTTGAAAATAAATTTCAAATTTTAAGACTAAACACGTCGCCTTTTAAACTTCAAATATCAAATATAAATTAAATTTATAAACCAAATAGAAATGAAGTACATAACTCAATAGAGAGTAATAACTTAATTTGAATCTACACTAAATAAATAAATATATTAATGAATTGAAAGAAGTATGTGGGTATATATATGATATTACACGTCTAGGATTTAAAATTAATTTAATTCATAGGGCTAACAAATGAATGATGACAAATTCAGCTTTAGGTTACATGTAATTGGCATAAAGTGGGCAACACAAGGGCCCACCATCCCATGCACTATTTACTTTATTTATTTATTTTTTATATTATTATTATTATTATTATTTTGTGGGAAATTAGTATGAAGCTTGTATAAAACAAAAGCCACCAAATTTCCAAAATCCCATAGATGTGTGTGTACCCCAAATCCATTTTAAGGTAAGAAAGTGCTTCAACTTGAAGCTCCCAAACCACTCACTTAAAGCTCAAGGAAGTTTTTTTTTTCATTATTTTTAAAAAATATATATTAATTTTCAAACCGAACAACGTATCTCCCTATTATGACTATAAACAGATCTATACAATTATTTAAAAAAGATATTCAAGTCAAAGACTCAATCGAATTAGAGAGACCATTATCAAACAACTCACAAACTAACGAACATGCACGATTTCACATGAATTATTTAAAATAAAATAAAAAAGATGGGTTTGTTTTCAATATAATATCATTGTATTGGTAGAATTCCCATCCTAAAAAGATGCAAACATTGGGAGTTTGACTAATTTTATTTAATGGGCTTCAAGGGCTTGTCTTTAGAATAATAAAATTTTAAATAAAGGTAAAGGAGTGAAGAGAGAAAAAGATAAATAAATAAATAAAAGTAATAAAAAGAAGATATTGTAATTTAAAAACTATTAAGTAAAAGTTAATTTAAGGATTCCTTATGCATTAAATATATTATTTGCTAACAAACTTTTCCTCGTTACAATCATACATACACTAAATTTCAATCAATTCATTAATAAATAAATAATAATTAATAATTTTTAATTAAGATGGTCGAAATGTTCATGGCTACCCAAAATTATAATTTTTAATTTAAACAATTATATTATTAAAATTGAGCCATTTAATTAAATAAATATAAAATTTAAATCTTTTGCATTTTTTTTAAGGTAAAAATAATATAAATTTGAAAATAAGAGATTTAAATGGAAAAAAATAGTATTTAAGATTTAGAATATATACATATTTTTATAAAACATGTAAATATTATTTAAAATTAAGTTTTTAATATTTATTCAGTTTCTCTCTCCCACTTACCGGTTTACCCGGTCCCCCTGTTTCCTTCCTCCATTTCCCGGACCAGCCGGTCTACGGTCCCACCTACAGGGGGCGACTACATTCCTCCGTCATGTCGCATTCCTTTAAAATATCCACAAATGGCATTCCTGTAATTTTCGAATTCTAGCAAGCCCTTTATCGTCATTTCGAATTTTAATTAAAAAAAAAATAGAAGAATTTCGTTGCCTTATTCGTTTTCCTTCGTTGTCCTCTCGTCTTGCGTCTGGCCCTGCTGCACAGTGGCTCTCTCCTCTCTGGTTCTCTCTGCACAGTGATCGAAAAAAAGCAAGAGAGAGAGAAAGAAAGAGGAACTGTTCTACCACGAGGTGTGAGATTGAAAGTGAAGAGCGCTCCATTTCACGCTTTGTAATGGAGAACTGAGACCTACTGCCTGTATTTTCATGGATAATCTCTCCCATTCTCGCCTCCCCAACAGGGGTTCTACCTCCGTTTCTAAGAAAATTTGCAATGGCAGTAATGGTGGTGGACCTTTTGTAGCTCAGACTATCTACGACGACGTCTATGGCGGTCCTCCCAAGTTTGGAGTCTCTGCTTTGTCTCCTCGTTTTGAAGACTATGGTGAGATTTTTGGGAGCTTCCATGCCCTCCGTACTTCCTCCATTCCGATTCTTGATCTTCCGGCTGTCGATGAATCTGAGGTTTTCTTCGACGCTCGGAGCTCGGCATTTGACTATGGGGAGGTTTTTGGAGGGTTCGATGGTTTGAATTTTGCGATTTCTTATGAGGAACTGGTTGGCCCTTCCCAAGGCGTTGATGATGGCTCTTCCGACGAAGCTTGGTATGACTGCATTTTGTTGGCTTTTGTTGGTTGATTTCTGTCAAATGTATTGAAATTGACCTTTTCTTCTTTCCCTCGGCTTTGAGAAGAAAAAAACAAATCATACTTTCGGGCTTTACTTATGGTTTAACATTTTGAAAGTTCATGTGTTTTGGTTTAAAATGCGGGAGATCGAAGGTGAAGGTGATGGTATGTTGACTTCCATCCAATAGTGAATAATTCTGGCATGTAGATATTGGTCTGGTTTTCCTTGTTTGAATACTATGAACTCGTGTATCTTGATAATTGACCTACTGATGCTAGAACTTGACGGTAGAATGCTTTGTGCCTTGCTTTTGACATTCACAGGACTCCAGCAGGAACTGATTCTTTGTCAGACTGTTCAGATCATTCTGGAAATTCTCATTGTATGTCAAATGAAGACTCTAATCAGTCATTTGGTGAAAGCACTGAATTTTCCATATCGTATAACAAGGTTAACCGAGAAGGCAATGGAAATGTATCAGATGAGAAGATACACGTAACCCAGTTGGAGATGCTACCTGGATTCTCATATCTGGTTGATGAAGCACATCCCTCACCAAAGGGAACATATGACGATCTATCCCTGAAGACCAATGACGATAGCTATCTCAATATAGATTTTGATACAGGAAAGGTTAAGGGCAAACATCCAAAGAACACTATGCCACCCCCAGTGGACAGTAATGGCTCTGGAAATGTATTCGAGGATAGCCTTATTTGTCAAAATGAATTTGGTAGAGAGGTTTTTCATTCTCATGAAGATTTCATAACCGTATCTGAAATAAGCCTTAGAACTGAACCTTCTCAAGTTCCACCACCTACTAGGCCGCCTCCCAAGTATGCTGCCAAAATGGGGGACTACACTAAAATGGCTTTAAATTGTGGGGATGCTTCTGAAATAATTTCGGATGATCATTTTAATCCTTTATTTGATGTGGAGGTCGACGCTAGTTCATCTGCAGCAGCCTCTGCTGCAGCTATGAAAGAAGCAATGGAAAAAGCTCAAGCACGTTTGCAAAGTGCAAAAGATTTGTGGGAGAGGAAGAAAGAAGGAGTCCATGGACGGATGAGACTGGATGCAAAATATGATATGAGAGAAAAGGAAGGAAATTTGACCAAGATTCCAAATCGATTTAAGAGTTTGACGGATGAAAGGGTGCAGGATATTGGTGAAATTCATGACCATAAAATGAATTTGCCTGCTGGAGAGAAGAGGAAAAAGGATGTGAAGGCAGCTGAGGTTTGTTCAACACCATTTGGAGGAGAGGAACTATTAACAGTTGATGAAAAGACCGTACCAGTTAGAAATGGGAGTAGATTTCTTGTGTCTGATAATCATGATTGCTGCAGTGAATGGAAAGACGCCACAGAGTTTTTTGAATTGGCAAGAGCAGATATATCTGGAAAGGAATTTGAGTTGTTGGACAATGATGAGATTTCCAACTTTGTGACTGAACCAATAGTAGCAGAGACCATCATTGAAGCATGGGAGAACGATAAAGATCAAGACAAGGATGGGAAACCATTCCATACGGCTCATGCTCTGAATGAAAACGTGAAAAAGTTGGAGAATATGGTCCATGGAAAGGTGGAAGATAAGATAAAACTAAAACCAAATAAAGACGAGACTAGGCAAAAAGAGCAGGTGAAACTTCATCAAGGTGTTTGTGATCTTGAAGCAAATGATAGGATGTTTGGAGTTGCACAAGACTTTATGGAAGAAAAAAAGCGTATGTCCAATGCTAGTGAACTAGAGAAACATGAAAACCGTTTTGAGTTTAAACAACTGGACAGTGAGCTAAAAGTTGATCAACCTGTTTCACCAATTGATATCGAACAAGAAAAGAAGAAGGTTGTTAAAGGAAAGGAAAATGGAAATATTCTCAAGGAATCTCATAGAAAAGAAAACAATGCAAATAAAATGGAAGAAGCCCTTGAGAATGAGAAAAGAGAAGAGCTGTTCTCGGAGGCTTCTGTAAGGGAAAAGCTTGAGAAAAAAAAGATGATGTTCCTCGAGCAAGAAGAAAATAAGAAAAGACTCAATTTGGTTCTTGCGGATGAGAACTTTAGGGGACAGATGGCTCGTGAAAGAGAACTGGATGGTGTCCATGGGAAGGAAGATCATGGGAAAAGGGTAAAAGAGGCTGCCAAAGTTGTAAGTGAGAGATCAAAATTAGCTCATGAGAGAGAAGATGACGACAAGTGGTCAAAAAATATTCAGTATAGAGAAGAATGTGAAATAGGAGTTGAGGATTCATTTCAGCGTTTGAACATTGAACGCAGGCCAGGTGATGTGGGTAAGTGTAAAGTGCCTCAGATGTTGGTTGAAGATTCACAATATAGTGCAGATCTCAAGGGTGCGAGTATGGAGCATGATGAATTAGAGAAATTGAGTGACAGACACGAAGTAAACTCAACAATAGGATCTCAAGCATATGTGGAAGTGAAAGATTTGGGGATATCTGCTGCGGCATTTCAAATGCATGACGACCAAAACCACTTACCCACGGTACTAGCTTGTTCAATGGGGGTGCCTGAAGAATTCTCTGTTGTAGATGAAAGTGGAGAGAGGACTACCGTCACAGGTAATAAAACTTCATCAGAAAGTGATGGAATTGATAATCTGCAATTTTCCAAAAATTCTTCTGCATTGGGTGCGAGGCAGGCAGAGATAGAACATCATAAAGTTTCAGTGGAAATGGAAGATGCTGATATTCAACTTTCTTTCAATGAATGGACCAAAAAAGTAGGCAAAGAAACATGCTTTCAACCCAAACCTGGTGATACACAAGCAGAAGCAACTAATTCGGAAGATGCATTTTCATCTGAAAACTCAACATGTGTGGATGAGCGAGAGCATGAAATTGAAGAGAACGCACTTAAGATGGATGATATGAAAACATCACCTCCTCTGGATAGAAGTGGTGAGAGAGCAGACCAATCTAACGTTGGCATGGAAGAGTTTGTAGGGAGAAAGACATTTGTCACCAGAATGGATTGTGATCCTGAACAACCAGAAAGTAACTTGTTTTGTCGTATGGAAGATAAAGTGAAGTTCTCTAACGAGGCTGAAGATGAGGGACAAACAGTGTCTGTTCAGGGAGTGAATATAAAGGCTGAGAAAGGAAGTGGAATGGAGTCAACTCGGCCAACTATTTCAGGAAGGACACAAAAGAGCGGGGAATTTGCCTATGAGGTCAATGCAAATCAGGCCACAGAAAGAAAGGAAAAGCTTGTGAACCAGAGCCATAAATCTAAAGGAAAAGAGAGTGAGAGAGTGAGGAGCGAATCAGAATTTGAGAATGATAGGCTTCGAAAATTGGAAGAAGAGAGGGAAAGGGAAAGAGAGAGAGAAAAGGATAGAATGCATATTGATAGAATTGCTCTTGAACCACGTGATAGAGTAGGTGCTGAAACTCGTGAAAGGGCAGAAAGGACTGCTCTGGAGAGGATGACTGCTGAAGCTCGACAACGAGCATTGACAGAGGCACGTGAAAGATTGGAAAAGGCTTGTGCAGAGGCGAGGGAAAATTCATTGGCTGGAAAAGCAACTATGGAGGCAAGGGTAAAGGCAGAGCGTGCAGCCGTAGAAAGAGCAACTGCAGAGGCCAGGGAGAGAGCTGCAGAGAAAGCCATGTCTGAGAGGACTTCCTTTGGGGTGAGAGAGAGAATGGAAAGATCTGTTTCTGACAAATTCTCTGCTTCTTCGAGAAATAATGAAATGAGACAGAAGTCTTCATCCTCTGTAAGTATACTATGCTGGTGTTTTTATAATACTTGATATTTAGTGCATATCAATATCACGATGTGAAATTTAAGTTGGGTGGTGAATGCCAGGGTCAGCCCAGCCTACAATCTCAGAGCTTTGGCTCTTCCCTTGCTTCAAGATATGCCTACCACTCGGCTTATGATGGTATGGGATTTGCGCATCTTTTTCCTTTCTGTTTTATAAGAGCTACAATTCCTTTTCTCCCTACCTGTATCTTTTAGCAATTTGATCATACTTCTGGTTTCTGAGCTATCTGTTCTCTGCATGAAATTTTCTTAATTCAGAGAGGAATGAGGGTGTTGATGGTGAATCGCCTCAAAGATGTAAAGCCAGATTAGAGAGGCATCAAAGAACAGCAGAACGTGCAGTATGATTCTGATCCTTCATGATATTTGTGATTGACTTGTCTTTTCATCATGAAATGGCCAACACTTTCCTTTATCTTTCAGGCAAAGGCTCTGGCAGAAAAAAATATGCGTGATCTTCTTGCACAAAGAGAGCAAGCTGAGAGAAATGTAATACTCTTTACAACATGCGAGATTACACTTTTGGAAGTTCTCGCTTCTTAATTTGTGACATATCATTGAACCAATCTATGCTGTTTGCAGCGATTGGCTGAGACATTGGATGCTGACGTTAGGAGGTGGTCAAGTGGGAAGGAAGGAAACTTGCGTGCTTTGCTTTCTACACTTCAATATGTACGTTTATTTTTTACTTTTATCTGCTAGGTTATGCCCTCTGCTGTGGGGTATCATATCTTGTGGTGAATTTTCAAGGTGTATTGTGGTTTCTGCTACGGTTCCCCTTCTCCTTTGTACAACTTTCTGTTGATTCGTTGCAAGCCTTGTCTAGCTTTATCCTGCCCTATAGATTCACTAAAATTTATCTAGAATATATTGGATTTGGGTTTGTTGAACATAGTTGTAAAAGATTCAGACCAAGCCCTTATTTACAATAAATAGGGTGAAGCTATTAACCGAGCTTGAATCTATGGTTTTTTTAGACTTACAACGGTTTATAGAACTAATTAACATGTTGCTTGCAGATCCTTGGACCTGGTAGTGGTTGGCAGCCCATTCCCTTAACGGAAGTTATTACTGCAGCTGCTGTAAAGAAAGCGTACAGGAAAGCCACTCTGTGTGTTCATCCAGACAAATTGCAACAACGGGGTGCAAGTATTCAGCAAAAGTATATATGTGAGAAGGTCTTTGATCTACTAAAGGTGTGCTAATTAACGAGTATATGCCGTATTGTTTTACAGTTTTTGAATTTTATATTCATTAGAAGAAAGAATTAAGTGGTAATCATCTCCACTTCTTTTCTATTATTATCATGTGAAGTTATCCTTTATAGCTTTCTTCCCATACCGATATCGACAATCCTAGAACTCGTGCTTTCTTATTTGTTTGTTCACCTGTGAACAAGCATTGCAAAGGTGTATAAACTGCCTCTAATATTCTGGGTTGTCTATGATTCTCAGGAAGCTTGGAACAAATTCAACTCGGAAGAGCGGTAACCTAAGCTCGTTGTCTATGAAGAGAAATTTATAAATCTACCACTTTTTGGCTACTACCTGTATTACTTAGTAGTGCTGGTAAGTGTACACTCCATGCTCATCAAACCCTTTTGAATTCCACTCCTAAAGTTGAAATGGAATCATAGTGAAACCAAGTAGAAGTAAATGAAAAATAGAGCCACCATGTTTGTGTACTGGAACCTTCTCTGCTGTGTATGAAAATGTTGAAAGAAACAGTCCTATCATTGATTCATTTTTTAAGTGAAAATGTGCAAGTGAAGCACGTGCAAGGAAACCCCCAGCCGTCTTTGTTGATCATGTAATTAACAGAAAGAAAAGTCAAAACTATTGCAACTTCGTAGCATTTAGCAATCCAATCTTGACCAAATGGAGCCCATAAATCTACAACCTACCTTCCACAAATCTCTCACAACCAACCAACCAACCAACCAACCAACCCTCTTGGCCTTCCATTCTGCACAATTGAGCAAGCTGCACACCCTTCCTGTTCTCTTGCTTAAGCTTTCATTTTCTGTTACTTTTGGTAGCCATGTTGAGAGCTTTGAGTACCAGGAGATGTCCTCACAGGTACGAGTATCTCATGGAGGATCCCACCATTAGCCTGATGGAAGGGCGGCTGAAGAGGACAACCAGTGTACCAACCATAGTACTCGGTTCAGGGTCGAGAAATCCGACGTCTGCCGAGCCTGCACAAGCAAAACTGAAGCAGTCGAAGAAAGCTAGCAAAGGACATGCTCTTTTTAATTTCTTTGATTTTGGTCGGAAGAGGAAGTCAACTGCCAAGCCTGAATTTGCAAGGTATCTGGAGTATGTGAAGGAGGGAGGCCTGTGGGATTTGAAAGCAAATGCTCCTGTAATCTACTATAAATGATTCAATTCATATTTGTTCTTCTTCTTCTGCTACTCTATTTACCTTTACCCCCTATATGCATTATAACATTCAGTTCAAAATTATTTTAGGTAACAGATCAAATTGGAACCTTTATACAAATGTTTGGATTAAAATATTTGCTTAATCCATCTCATCTACTACTAAATGGTGTATGAAAATTCTCTGTTGAGAATATCTATAGTAATAAATGGAAAGAACAATAATAAATGTGAGAATATCTATAGTAAAAAAGTCAAATATCTAGATATTTGTCTTATAATAAAATATCAAATATGATATCTATGGTAAACTATAATTTAGTACTAAATATCCTAACATTATGAAATTTTAATATTCGAGCGTGCATTTGAGGTAAAATTGATAGGAACCGACTAAAAATTAAAGTTTTAGTTGGTTTATGCAATTTGTAAATTATTTTATGATCCATTTGGTGTATTAATCAAATTTAACTTTGTAATAAAGTTTTGACCGAGTTAATTTATAGCCTAATTGGCGTAGTAATCAAATATTTAAATTTATACAAAAATTTTGATCGAGTTATTTTATAGTCTAATTGGTGTCTAAATCAAATATTTTTATTGAATTAATGAGTTTTTTTTTTCTACAATTACTCTTGAAATTGACATAATAAATATTCACATTGGACCAATTTTTGTTGTTATTTTTAAAACATTTGATCAATTTCGCACGGTTTAATAGAAGCGATGATTTGTCGTTTATAGCAATATTAAAATTATAAACACGTGGAAAATGTATGTTTTTTAGAAATAAAAATTAAACACGACCAAATTAAAATAATAATAATAATTTTAAAAATCTAATATTCATCTAAAAAGAAAAAAAAAGATATTGTCAACTCAAAATCAAAAGCTATGTTTGACTTTTCCATTTTTTAGTGCCGTCGACATTGTCCATTGCCCATCTCTTGACCTCACCTACCCTTTCGTAATTTCACACTTTAATTTTCCTTTAATAATATATGTATATATACACACGTGTTTGTTTGTGTGTGTATATATAGAAGTGACATCATCACAGCTGTACAGCTGGAAAACTCTAGGGAATTTATTTCTTTTTCTTATTTTTCTTAAATGGTTAATATTTTTTGTTAATGGAATTTAATTTCAAAGGCAATTTTTTATTTTATTTTATCAATGTTGGAGATAAAGTATTTCATAAAATTGTTTTGAAACTATTCTTCAAAAACGCATTTACAAACCTTTCTTTTATTTAATTTTTTTTATATTATGTATATTTTGATTTTTTTGAAGTCTTAAAATATATATCGTAATATTAAATTTTAAATTTTAAAAAATTAAATCGGTAGAATATTATATGACTTAACTTAAATAGGTAGACGAGGCAAAGAATAAGAGGAATAAATTTAAAATATTTGACTATAGGCTATTTTATTCTAGCACTTTCATCTATTAAATTCATAATTATATCTAATATATCATTTAAATTTAATAAAATTATTAAAATATTTAAAATAATTAGCGAGTACTTTAGAGAGCGGTAATGACCGTACCACACGGAATTAGGGCAGTTTTACAAGACACGCATTTCAATACCAAATGTTGGAATAGGCAATCATCAAAACGACACCGTACAACACGTTCCTTTCATTAAAAGAAAAGGGACAGCTCCTTGATTGGACGACACGTCGGGGGGGGGAAAGCTCAATTCAAATTAGGCTTTCCAAAGAGCGAGGAAGGGTACTTACGACTTTTCAAATGCCGGTCAGTGGCACGGGCAAAAAGGGCAAAAAAGAACAAGAAAAAGGAGAGAGTGGTGGGGTGGGGGTGGGGGATTCGTAATCGGTATAAAGGAAAATAGGAGAGGAGGAAAGGAGAGAGGAAGAAGGGCTTCAAATATTTGCGGAGAAGCTGGCTGCGTGTGCGACAAGGCGAAGAGAAGTGGCGGTCTTTGCGACCCCTAAGAGGAAAACACAAAAAACTTGGAGAGGAGGTTTTCAATCTCTCCCTCATCTCTCTTTCTCCAACCCCATTTATTTTTCATCCTCTTTTTATGAGCGACGGGGAAGAGTCCACAGGAATCAAATCGAATCGAATCGAATCGATACTCTAAAATGGGGCTTTCTGTCTTCTCTTGCAACTTTCCGACTCCTCCCCGATCCTCTGCTTTCCTTCTCACCTCTTGCGCCTAGGGTTTCTTTTTTTCTGCCTCCATCTTCCTTTTTGAGGTGATTTTGTTGGATGTTCGAATAAAGGGTATGGAGAATTTGTGTTCTGGGATGTTTTGTTTTTTATTTTTGGGAGATGGGTGTGCGCGACATCTGAGAATCCTTGATGGGTTATATTGGGTTTCTGTTTTCCTTCGTTTAGTTTTGAATTTTTCATACGATTTCTTTTGGGGGGTGTCTTTGTTTTGAAACGCTTCCTCATGCTTGGGGAGAGGTCTAGCTTTCTGATTCTTTTTGGATGTATATGTTTTTTTGTGTTTGGTGCAATTTGTGTGTGAAATAGCTAGTTCTTGAATTCCAAGGTTTGGTTTATGCTTTGTTTTGTAAAATTTGGCTGAATGGGACTTTTAGGGGGGGTGTTTGCTTCAGGCTTTAGCAATGTTTTGTTTTAATTAGTGCAACTCGATTGAGGTTTTGGCATTATTATATACTCACTGGGTTTGCTGCACCTTCGAATGCAGAATCATGCCAACATTTACTACAATTGCGTTGGATAGGTTGTTAGAACCTGGAACTTCCAAATCTGTCGATAAGCCCCTTCCTAAACATATGCCTGCTTTGACCTTTAACCGTGCTCCGACCACGAATTTGGAGAGGAGAAACAGCGCATCAGCTGCTGAAAGAAAAGTTCAGCGGCCTCAAATAAAGCCAGCTTTGTATACCACTCCAGAGGCAACTCCTCTCCCGGATTCACCATCTTCATTTCCTCCTTCCCCTTATATTGTCAATCACAAGCGGCGTGGGCCTCGACTTTTGAAGAGTTTCTCTGAGGATGTGGTCTCTTCTCGTCAAAAGATGAATGATAACGATATAGGAAATGTGAATGTGAATGGTTCAGATAGCAATGATGTAAAATTGAGTGAGGGTGCTTCTGTTACTGTTGACTTGCCTATTCCAAACAAAGATGGACATAGAAATGGTCTAGATTGTGCTACTAGTAGTAATGTTGGTCAAAATGGTAGTGTTGATGGTGATCATGGTGCTACTGCTGTTCAACACGGGAGCAATCACACTAATAACGGAAGTACTATAATGGTGAGCAATGATGTCGCTCGGGAAAAGGATTCATTGAAGGTTGTTGTGCCAACTTTGGACAGTCTTGGAGATGCTGAAGACTTCTTCGACCCACAGGATTCTTTGAGCGTTGCGAGTAACACAGATGGAGAGGACAATGGCTATGAACGTTCAGCCAAGTTCTGTACTCCTATGGGGGAATTTTATGATGCTTGGGAAGGTAATCATTATTGTATGCATAGAAAATGTTATTCAGTTATACCTTTTGATTGCATAATTTCATTCTACGTATTGTTCTTGTCACTATCATCAATATCGCCACCATCATCAATAAGAAAACCCTTAGGGTTGTTATCTGGAAACTTGTTCAGAAATATTGTAATGAAAGGAAGATAGGAGTTTATCGCTAGGTATTTGATCAGGTAGGATCGTCCAGTTCCTATAGAACCTATCACTAAAATACCCCTACGAGGGGATGGTCTAAGCGGAGCGAAAAGGGGTTTTCATGAGATGGGAAATTCAAGAGTAAATTTGTCTCCGAATAACTTCCATAAGATATGAATGCCAACTTGAAGTCAACTTCAATATCTTATGACTTCGTTTCTTTTCTGCAGAGATGTCCTCTGATGGTTTGCCACATCCTTCTATTTCTGTTATTGAAGCTGAATTGCGTGAAATGAGACTATCCCTACTGATGGAACTAGAGAAACGAAAGCAGGCTGAGGAAGCACTGGACAATTTGCGGGGCCAGTGGCAGAGGCTTAGAGAACATCTATCGCTTGTAGGATTGACCCTTCCTTCAGATCCCACAGTAGCCACAAATGGGAATCTCTTATATTCTGACCCTGCTGAAGAATTGTGCCAACAAGTTAATATTGCTAGGTTCGTGTCGGGTTCTATTGGAAGGGGTATAGCAAGGGCAGAGGTGGAGACTGAGATGGAGGCACAGCTTGAAGCTAAGAATTTTGAGATTGCTCGATTGTTGGACCGGCTCCATTACTACGAGGCAGTGAATCATGAGATGTCCCAGAGGAATCAAGAGGCTGTAGGTAAGAATCTGTTAACCTCGACTTTTATTCTTCTATTCTGATCTCTCAATGTTGATGATTTTGAGTGAACAGATCATTAAGTGTTGTTGTCTACTGTAGAACAATTCGATATGATTATTCTGATCCAACAGGAAAGTATTTGTATGTAAATCTGTCTTCTTTCTCATTTCCATGGATCCTAGTGCCCATCCAATATGGGTTTCTTGTTCCAATTGGTCTGGGTTGTCAAAACTGCGCACGTTGTAGAACGGGAATCCTTTAGATCCATTGGTTTTCTATGCATCCTATAGTCCGACCCGATTTCGCCTTGGTACTTTTTCTTGCATAAGTTGTCATATGATCCCCTGTTGCTTTAGTTCTCTGTTGCTGTTGCTTATGTGTTGAATCTCTGTGTTATTGGCTAAGCTTTGCCTCTACCTATTCGGTTTTCCAGACTTGGCACGGCGTGAGAGGCTGAGAAGGAAAAGGAGGCTGAGATGGATGTGGGGTTCGGTTGCCACCGCAATCACACTCGGCACTGCAGTCTTAGCTTGGTCGTACCTCCCATCAGGAAAAGATTCGTCATCCATGAACGATTCGAAGGCCACCGAGCATGATGATGCAACAGATCGATAATTGGCGACACAAGGAAGTAGTTTATGTACCGTGTTATAGAAGGAAAAATGAAAGGGGAGGCATACATCAATTACATGTGGTATAATGTTGATATCAAACGTTGCTTTTGTCAGAAGTATTCACATGCCGAAGGGTATAGTTATAAATCATCGGGCCTTATGATGATTAAAGCTGAAAGAAATG